TTTCCACCCGCCCAGGGCTGGAACCGGTGCCAAACAACCTCTGCTAATAAACAAGAGGAACCAGATAAACCAGGAACACAATAGAGGGATTTGTTGCACTTAGAGATGGTGGGAACAATGTCAACGTCGCGCGCAGCTGCATATAACCCCCCACACACTCACAACTCAGCCAGTGTGATTTATGAAAGGTCAAAGTTCATCATGTCTTAAAGGCCTCCTTCCTTGCATCACTTATTAACCCTTCCTTGAATGGACCCTTATTGTGGTGGGGGCGGGGGTGGGGGGTGGTGGATTTATATACAGTATTTCCTTTGAGTCGGGGCAATGCACGCACTATCCCATGCGCTTCCTGCTTCACTTGTCCACTGGCTGAAATACAGTGTTAACCAATGACAGGAGGTAGTTTTAAGTGCAATTGGTGTCAGTGTTGGGGGAGCACCATTTGCAAGGGCAATGAGCTTTCCCCAACACTTCCCTGCAAATGCGCTTTCAAGGGAACCTCAATGGAACCCCTCAAAGGGTGAGACTGAAGTTCAGGCTTCATCCCTTCTGCCCCCGGTCAATCCTTTTCCTTTCTAATGAAGTGGCCAGTAAGGAGATGAATGAATACCCATCCTGATGTTTTTCTGCCACATGGGCATCTGCTAGGAACTGGCTATAAGTACTCAGATGCTAAAGAAGGAGTAGGGTGGCCATCATAGAGGACATTCTGGTTTTCTGCTACTCTGTCCTCTATTGATACGAAACCGGACAGCTTCAAGAGAAAAATAGAGGACATAAAGGCGTCAGGTTTCCTATCAATAGAGGACAGAGGACAACCAGACTGTCCTTTGTGATGGCCACCCTAAGTAGGATGTGTGCATTATATACTGTGATGCTAGCCGTAGCCACAGAATGTGAATTTGAGACAGGAATTACTGGGTGACATTCTGTGTGCGTTGTTGTGCAGGGTGTCAGACTGGATAATTAGATACTTGGTCCTTCCCAGCCTTGAAATCTAGGTATCAAGAATATCTAGATAGGTAGATAGTTCAGATAATCAACCTTCACACAGGTCACAAGAAATCAGAGGGCAGCTTTCATTCCCCTTCAACTTGAGGATAGAGTGGGGCCATCAAATTCAAGGCGAAAGATCTTATCTCCTGCTCAGTTACAGTTGGCACTGCAGGCCAAGTTGTCATATCACAACACAACATTACAATGCAACTTTGATATATTATAACTTGATATAATAATTTGCAGCCCCACCCCCCGCTGCCACCCTTTTTGGGGGCAAATTAACAATCTTCCAAGGGGATCCTGCAGGATCTGGGCCTGTTGCTGCAGGCCTGTTTAGGGCCTGTTTGGAACCAGTGACCCATAGATGAATTGGTTCTCAGGACTCATTGTGTTCTCAGTTTCTTTAGCTATCCAGTGTCCCTCGCTATTTCTAATTAATGTAACTGAGAGTTGAATTCTCTTCATTTGTGAGAGTTCTGTGGAAGGAGCAAAACCAACCCCTTCCAGTGGCTGTTTGAGCGTGGGAGACCCCATGAATTTGTGGTTTACTGGAATCCAAGTCAAGAGTGGAGACAAAGGGGATTCTACTAATTTAAGACTGAGTAGCACCTCTTCTCCTTCCAGGATGGTGCAGAAGAGCCTGTGTTGTGTATGATATGGAGGCATCCCTCTCCTGCTGCGGAACAGATGAAAAACTGTGATCTTAAGTTTTGTGGGCAGGTCCTTTGTACATGAGGAAGAGAAGAAGCTTTGGGGAAAGACTGGTGACAGCCCTCTTTCCGTGTAGGGCAGAGGGGACTTTGGAGTCTGGGGTTTAAAGGGAGGAATGTTTCTCTGACTAAATGCCAGTTGTAGGTCTGGTTACCAGCAAAACTGTTTCTGCCCTTGCTTTGGCGTCTCAGCCTCAGGCCTTGCTCTCTTTCTCTCCCTCTCTCCCTCACATTCCTCCAGGAGCTGATCAGGGCTTGAATGACACCCCAGATGACTCTTTGCTATTAATTCTTGCTAACAGAATGGGCTCCTTGTTCTCCCAATCCTACTCTCTGGAGGAATTACAGGGGCCAAGGCAGCAGACTGAAGAGTTCCCAACTTAACCCTTCCTCTGACTTCCCAGGAGTCTCCCTACAGCCAGAGGGCCCACGAAGAAGTTGGCGGTTGGGGAGGAGAGACCACCCCAGCACCTCCTTATCTCTGCTAAACAAACCCACAGCGCTCACCAAAAGTTACTGCAACAAGGAGCTCACTAAGGAGGCCGCCACTCTCTATTAAACCTAGTACCAACCCACCCCCACTTTTTTTTTACCCTTCCAGGAATGCCCTGTGTAACACAGAATAATCCCAGCACCCCCTAAGTGGCTGATTCTGTCTAGTCCATCACGCTGGTCATGTAAAACCTAACCTCAAATGGGACACAGCAAAATCATGTTTTCTCCTGACACTGCCTGACTCCACCACTTTGACGCTTCATTTTGACTCCTGTCTCAAATCCACATGTCTCCGTCAGGGCATGAGGGGGTTAACAGCAAGAGACTGAGAGGCGGAGTACCACCTGCTGTAGCAGGTAGTAGCCAGACATACCCAACTGATTCTTCCTTTGATCTTCCCAGACCCAAGTAATGCAGGAAAATTATCCTATCGTAACCCCCTCCCCTGCCCACAAAATTTTAGAATAACTAAGATGATGGACAAAGAGACATTTGGGGTCTTTCTTGATGCCCAAACTGATTTTCTTCTTGCTTTCCCTCATAGTGGGGTTCCCCACTTCCTTCATCTCTGAAGCATCATGCATAGTGGCCCCCCCACACACACACTTTGTATTAAAAATGTTGCAAGGGAATTTTCTCCGTTAGTCCCTTAGACAGTGGTTATCATACAGCAGCAGAGGCGCTGCTGCTTGAGTGAACTGTCCCATGGTTGTCCCTCAAGCCTGCCCTGCAGACACATTCATCTTTGTGGTCTTTTGGGTAGAAGCGCTAACAAAGAGACTGACTAACACCATTGATGATGATGCTCTTGTGGTGGAGACGCTGATCCCAGTAGGAACTGCGCTGGCAATCCCTTTCCTCCCCTACCACTCTGCACCACTTAGTGAGCTATCTGCTGTAGGGCAAACGTTTGGTTTCCATTAACCTTGGGCTGGCTGGAAATCAGGTGAAAGATCAGGAAGGAAAGTGCCTGACCTGAGAGGCAGTGAAAACCATTAATTGTGGTTTTCACCTGCCCCTGTCCTCCCAAACCCTCTGGTCCCTCTGGAAGGGAGTGATCAGGATGGGGAATCCAATCTGATTCTCCCACTCTCAGGTACTGGAGTACTAAATCTTTTGGCCTTGCCTTGAAGGAGACTAACTAATCCACCATGGCCTAACCAACCTCCATGTTTAAAATGCCTTTTGTTTGTACCTGGTCCCCCATGACAGTTGCTGCCATCCCTGCAAGGGAACACTAAAGGCAGCTGTAATTCAGCCACATGGACCTGCTCCTTGTTGCAGCTGTCAGAGCAGCAACCAGTAGCTGCTACAGTGTGGTTACAGCCACATCAGGGGCGTTATTTTTTTCTGAATGAGCCTACCACTCTTCTCTGCTTGAACCCACTCAAGCTCCCAGCCCTTGGCAAGGCCTGAGGGAGAAGCAGAGATTACTGACCATGCCCTGGGTTTTGAGAGGCTCTTGAACTGGTGCCAGTGGCTCCTTTCTGTTAATGATACAGAAGGAAACAGAGCAGATCTGGCTGTTGCATGGCTACCTCCCATCTGCCCAGGTCCCAACAGCAGATAGGAAGATTCCTGGGCCTATTAGGAACTGTGGTTCATCAGACTCTCGGCTGGCTGCCACCCTGGAGCTAGGCACCACAACAAAAGAATTGCCTCATGACACAGCACTACTGGCACCATCAGGGAGCCTAGCATAAGCATAGGGATGCTTTACATTCTCCCAAGATTGGGAAAGACCCATGAAAACCAGAGCCATCATGAGTTCTTCTTGACCTTTAGTCAAGGAGGAATTCAGGGGAAAAAGCGGAGGTGAGGCTGCACTAAAAGGTCATTTTTAGATTTGTGGCGATAAGCTATATGATCCATCTGTGGATGGATGTGGCCTGATTATGATCTCACTTATGTGGTGTTAAGCAGGAGTAATTTCCATGAAGTCAGCGCAGACAGGCTTGTATCAGCTTGGAGTGAGAGCAGGATCAGGCCCATAAATTTTACAGGCTCCTTTTCCAAAGCAGACTCCAGGTCCCTTTTCTCCCTCCCTCCTTGGGAGTGTCAGACTTAGACCAGCTTTCAACAAGGAATATTTTAGTGAGACCCTGTTAATCTGTCTGGTTCCTTTCTGGCATTCCTCTTTGACTGCCTTGATGATTACCCAGCTATTGATGTGTCACTGAAACCTTTTGGGTCTCTCTCTATACATGCCTCTCCTCAGACTTCTTTCCTGCCAGTGAGATCACAGGGTAGGGTAGTTGACTTCACAGCCCTTTCCATGACAGTAAGGTGTGATGTCATAGCGCTGCCCAGTGATACCCACACACCTGAGGAGCGACTCAGTTCTCACTGGGGGCACTGGACCCCCGATATCTTGCTTGGGGACGTCCAGGATGCTTCTGATGTCCTATTTGCATAGGTTCTGCCCTCCAACCCGCTCGCTGTCTCTCTCTCCTTATTGGGGCCCAAGACAGAAGGAATTTTAGCCCTCCTTCAGCCCATAATCAGTGGACTCACATCCCCTTTGTCCTAAATGCTGCCTCCCTCTTCCTCAGGCTTCCTGGGAGGAGTGGAGTCCAGTGCATCCCCTTTTTCACGGCAGAAGGCAGATCCTATGTACACAGTGGCATCTGGGGAGGTGTGTGCGCACTGCTGAAGCGTGGACCAGCAAAATGGGAAACAGATGGGAGGGCACCCCCTGTCCCTTAAGAGGCAAGGAAGGGGATAGCCATCCTCTGTACCACCCTCACTTACCCAGATTCCCCTCCACCAGATTATCAACATAAGGAAAGGACAAACCTTCAGCCGTCTCTGCTATCCCCCTGATATGGCGTTGGGAAGATCTTTTAGTTCCAGCGAGGCTTCCTGATATCACTGGAGAGAGAGAGGCAGCCGGCCAAAATCCATGCCAATCCACCGCCCCTGCCAAAGGGACGTGGGGGCGTGAAAAGTGGGGGAAGGGGAGCAAAAATATTGAGAGAGGGCCCCAAGAAAATACCTACTCCCCAAATTAAAAGACAGCCCAACCCACATTCTCCAGCTCTTTCTCCTGCTTCCCCACCTCGGAAGGAAATGGGTTTCATATGGATGAAGTGGGTGTCTGGCTGTCCCATCCAAGAGGGAATGCATCCACGGTTGCAGGATGGGGTCTAGCCATTTCGAAGAGGAGCTGACTCCCAGCTACAGCCCTGCCCTGCCCTGCCCTGCCCTGCCCTGTAGTCCGGCCGCTGCTGCCTCTGCTCTCACTGGCCCTGTCTCCTCTCTCCTCGTTGGGTCTGAGGCGAGCTGGACGCTTTTAAAAAGCTTTTTATGTGTGTGTGTGTTAATCACATGATTGTCGTTCACCTGTATCTTGAACAAAGACAGCGCACTGTTAAAGGCCCAAACAAGAAAGAAGGCAGGGGGGGTGGGGGGTGTAGAGGGAAACTGAAGGGGTTGTTGAGAGAGAGAGAAAACCCTTATCAAACTTCCAATTCATGGGTCTCCCTTTCCCTCAGCACACTGGAGTTATTGTTTCGCTGTTGTGTGTGTGTGTTTTTGAATGTCTGTCCCCCCCGCTCTGACGCTGTTTTACTGTATGGAAAGATTTCATTGTGAACCCCTCCCATTTTCCCAGGCGGGCCTGGGACAATACCAGTCCTGTGCCCTTGAGACGGGACATGGCACAAAAGCTGTCACTGTCTTATTTACCCAGATACTTGCTGGGGTGCAGCAGCTCAGGTATTTGTGGTGCATACCCAGTTATCTATGACAGATCTCCCTGGAGCTTGAGAGAGAGGCTGGGTAGCAATGAAATGGGCTCCGGCACACCAAACGTTTTCTGCAAGGCCTCGGGGACCCCTGGACTTCAGGATCTTGTCTGCACTTCTCTCTGCAAATCACCTCTTCCTCCCCTTCAGACAGATGCTTTTTCCTTCATGTTCCACTTCACAGTGGATCCTTCATCTTCCCTGCCCCGTAACACACCATAAGGGCTCTTTGGGCCAAACCCATCCCTAGTGACTTCAGAGATGAACTTGACCCTGAGTATCTCAATAGTGTCGCCACCACGTCTGGACCCTGCCTTAATATTGCTCCTTATGGTGATTCACCCTGCTTGCTCATGGTTCAAATCTTTCCCTCTGTTTTGCTCCTTAATGCTTGGCTAAAAGCAGGATCTGTGTTGATGACCAATTTTACTCTCTTGCAGGGGGGCTGGAAGTCATAGGAGCCTAGAGTGCTATGTGGGTCTCTTATAGGACTTCCTAGGGCACAGAGGATTTGGTAAGATGGCAAGATGGGAGCAGGGGAGCATGTCACAGTGATACTGCACATGCACATGTATTGTCGGAAGCCCCATCAACAGGCCAGCTCTATATTATTTAGTGTTTTATCTGCAATAATAGCAACCACAGTACACTCTCACCAGAGAACGGGCAGCCAGCACAGACCACAGAGCGAGGGTGTCATTTATTGTCACAGGCATAAGTCCTGGAATAGCCAAGCTACCACAGCTGCAACTTACAGGTGGTTATGCAGAGCTCCCAAATAAAATACATCTATATAGTCACAATGGGATGTGTGTGTGGTGACCTGGAACTGGGTCTGCAGAGGGGACCCCAGGCTTAGAGAAAGAATTGTAAAGGAATCACTGAATGTGTGAGCCAGGGGCTTGATATTCAGAAGCTCCCTCGGTCTTAAGAGCTCACTGGTTGGAAGGTATTTATCTCAAGCACTTTTATGACCCCTGCTACTATGGTACAAGGGCACCTCACTGTCTTTGGTGTCACTCCCTTCCCAGCACCTATATGAGGCAGAGAAGCGCTACTATCTCTCCTTCTGGCAGTGGGGAAATGAGGCACAGAGAAGAGGACTTGCCCACGGTCATGCTAGAAGTGCGTGAAAGAGCAAGGTCTCCTAAGTCCCATGCCAGTGAGCCAACTATGCTAGTGTGGAGGAGACTGAGGATCAGAGCTGTACAGATATAATGGCATAAATACTATTCAGCTGTGAAAAGAGGTGGAATCTGCTTTAGGCAGATTGCTGTATGAATACCTGCCAACCTGAAAGGATCCAACTGGCCCTCACCCTTATAAAGATCCTTGCTGAAATATATTCAGATGGGTGGCTAATAAAGGACCTGGGAGGTTTCTCAGTCTTAGAGAAGTGCTCAGAGAGGTAACATCTTTATTCGGTAGATAGAAAGTTGTTGCCAGTAGTGACTCTAGAGTAGAGAAATGGTTGCTGTTCTTCTCTCACTCAGTGTCCCACCATCTCAGTGATGTAGAAGGCACCATATAATGTAGAGAGAAATCCCCGTTGGCTACCCACAGCCATATTGCCAGGAAATGTTATTGGATAGAAAATGAGGCTGAAAAGGGTTAGAAAATGCTTAAAAAACACTTTAAACACCTGTGCTCCTACCCCAGTTTCTGAGGAACACTTGGAGAACTGAAACTGGACACCGAAAAGGGGAAAGGATCAAAAGAGATGATGAAGAGAAAGAGAAAAATTAGGGTGGGAATGGAGTAAGAAGGAAAGAAGAAAAACACCCTCTTTCCCAGTTAATTGTGAAAAGCCATTGGCATGGCATTTTGGTAAAAGCTGCTCAGAGCTCTTCTCAGAAAGGCCAACATGTGTGGATTTGCTCAGGCTACCTTGACTTTGCTCCATGACAGGGGCACATCGATTCCACCACAAGGTAAAGGCAGGGACTGCTGTTTTCCTCTGTGCTTGTACAGGGGCTCCTGGGCCATAACAAATGCTCTTATAGGCTACCAAACTTCAAGTACTAACACTGGAACTACAAGGTGGTCCCAAACTCTGTGCCTCATACTAATAGTGTCATTGTGGTTTGGCTTCTTTCTCCCACCACTGGGAAGTGTCATTTTGTGTTCTCTGTCCCACATTGTTGGGCACGTGCAGAAGAGATGTGATCTCCAGCTCTGCCTTTCCATCAGATTTAAGCACCACTTTTTTTCTTCTTAGGGCCAACATAGAGGACCCTGGACATTTTGGTTAATGTGCCAAAAAGGGTGTAGGACACCCTGAAGTCCTGTGTCTTGTCAGGCACTTTGCTCAAGCAAGTCCCTTTGTTGTTGACTCTCGACCTAGCTTATAGCAGAGGTTTCAGTCAACTGATGCCTTGCCACTGGGCTATTGGGACTCTGTAATCCCATTCCTGGAAAAAACATCCTCCTCCTGTTCTCTCTTTCTCATGAGGCCAGCAAGAACCTGCACCTGGAGGGAGGGAAAATGAACGCCCCCTTCTTATTGTATCCTGCTTTGCCCTTCCCCCCATCCCAGGTTGGATATTAGCCTCAGAGGGGGAACAATTGGGCCAGTGTTTCTTAGTCGTGGCTATCTCCCAGTGGGACCAGGAGACGACCCCTTCCCCCTCCCTCAGGCGGTTCCTCTCCTCCATGAAGATTTCTGCATCCCTCACAGAGGCTCCTGTCAGACTCGTGATAAACCTTGCTAGCCAGGGAAGATGTGCTGAGTTCAGCAGTCTGGATGATACGGTGATGCTGCATCTTGTACGCAGTGATGATCATTTGGGCTCTTGGGAAGAAGCGACCTGCCCCCCATGTATTTTTCCTGTAGAGAGTTTTAGTAGACCGTGGAAACTGCAAGGGACAGAGGTTCAGCATGCCAAAAAAATTCCTGCCACGCCAGTGGGAATTCTCCCCACGAACCAGAGGGAGCTCGTCTGTGTGATGGCCCAGGATTCACCAAACCAGCCCTGCAGCGTTGCTTATATGTAGGAACCAGGGCCTCGAAATTTCTCCACTGAGATCTCCATGAGGAATTTGTGTGCATGTGTGTGAGACTTATATTCCTTAACCTTCAAAGGGAAGAGGAGACAATATTGGGGAAGATGCTTTGATTGTTTGCTTGGGAGAAGGGAACACTAGACCCGTGTCTTGGGTCTTTGTCTCAGAGAGACATGGACGCTGCTTGAGGATGTAGGAAAGGTCAAAGTCGGCCCTTTGGACAGGGGTTTATTTGGTGCCCTTTCCACCTTTTCACACACTTGGTATATCATGTATGGACAGGTATTTGTTGCCACTGCCACCACTGTAACCTACACTTGCCATCAGGATCAGGAAGCCCACATCCCTGTTCTCACTTACACCGGTCTCATTAAGCTTCCGATAAGCTTCTAGTTGAGCTTAAAGCAGGTCCCCTTAGTGCTGTCTTGTAGCTTCAGCCCCCATTCCTTACTGTAGCATTTATCTCCCTTGGGCCCTCACCACACAGAGAGGCAGGAGGCAAAAAAGTGATCCATAACTGTGTAGGGAAAACAGGCAGGCAGGCACCACTTTCAAAGGTGTCAACCCTAGGTTTGCTCTGGAAATTGTAACTCAATGGGGTTGTTTCCTTGGCTCTTAGTGTGACCCTATCCATTATTTGCTCTCTCCTTCCATCATTGCATGTTCTAATGAATCAAGTCCTGCTCCACTGGCTCAGCTTGGGCCTCCCTTGATGAAACGATTTCCCTGGGTCTCTCCTCTCCGTATTTCTGGCCTGACACGGAAGCATTTCCAAGTTGGCTCTTCGCTTATGAACTTGGTGCCTAGAGTTGTATGTTGGTCCTAATTAGTAACATCTAGAGCCCATGGGAAGATCAGTCCCTGGTCCTGCCAACTTTTCAGTGGGGAACCTTGAATGGATATGCTGTTCTTCAGCAGCAAGGGTGAGAGAGGAAGTGATGTTAAGACCCCAGCTAGTGAAGAATTCTGGGAAGGAAAATAATCACAATAGAAAATAAAGGGCGTAATGCATAACACCCTAATCCACCGAGCTCTAGAGTTACTTTTACATCCCAGCATGTTTGAGTGTGTGTGAAAGGGAAAGAGAGAGAGAAAGAAAGTGTGTGTTCCCTGGAAACCCTGAGAATCCCCCTCTTTCCTAATGGGCCCATGTCACCCCCCATGCTTCCACCCGCAAATCTTTAGAATTAATTCAGCCCTTCTTGGTAAGGGGCCAGAGCCTGGGTGTTTGAATGACATGAAACACTCCTGCTTCCCCAGAAGTATGGCTGTGTTGTGACACTCATCTCTGGGGGACACGATAACCCACGAAAGGAAGCAAACTGCTGCCTACTGTAGGGCCATAAAATATTGATCCTTCAACCCTGCATTATTTCTAGGACTCACCATCCCCAGGAAGTGCCAGCCTTCTGACTGTGAGCAGCAAACAACGGTGACAAGAACTAGAAGCCATGGAGTCCCAACCAATTTCTCGTGCAGCAGATTTGGCCCTTGGAACAAAACCTGCCGAACGAGGCAGAAAGACTGGCCAGGGACACAAATCCTGTCTTCCTTCATGACAGTGGAGAGTGCACCCTACCTGTGCCCAGTGACCGGAGGAATGCTTTATTTTAATTCCCCAATAGGAGTACTAGTAGTAGTACTAGTAATACATTTCTTGCAGTTTTCTTGGAGAAGCCTGATTTTGGGCATGTGAACTGTGTGTGCTTGAGTTAGGATTGGGGGGCTCTGTCAATGTCCCCTCCCTGCCTGCATCAAATGAATGTATTCTGGCTATAAAGACTGCTTAGCTCCACCTTCTGCCCTTCCCTCCCCCAGTGCTAAGCAGCAAGCCAGTTAGAGAGACATCCAGCCAGGGTATTAGTAAAAACCAAGCCTCCCTCTAGGAATGGCACTCGTCTAAGAGTCTCCTCTGCGCAGAGCTCCTGTAAGCCGCCAGGGCTTGGAGAGGAGAACAGAGGGGCTATTGGGATACAAATTACAGCCCTCTCAGGATTTGCCAGACAGACCGGCCAACGTAAGTTTTCCTACCTGAACACAATCTCACACACACACACTCTCTCTCTCTCTTTTTTCCCCCTCTACTTTCTGTGGCTTGCTGAGTTTCTTCAGGAAAGGTCCTCGTCTCCCTCTAAAAGTGCTTCATTGGAGGGATAACAACCCCTGATCTGCACTGACTCCTTTCTCAACTAACCCTGGGGGGAGGAGAGAGACATTTTTTCTATCCAGTTTTGGAAGGGGCTTTTTTTTTTTTTCATTTAGCATTTCTTTCTTGAGGTGGGAAAAACTGTTGTGTGATGGCAGAGACTTTCAGGGGGGACTGTGGGGAAAGAGAGAGAAAAAGAGAAAGTGCATGTCTGAAAGGAACAAGTCACAGCCTAGGATTTTTTTCAGAATCTTGAAATATGTTTAGGTATATGAATAATGCATGTGTGGGGGTGACTGTATACTTTTAATTACGAACAAATGAGAGAAGGGGCAGGGGAAATGGGGCTTCTCCCCACGGACACCTTCTTCAAGCCTGCATCAGATTCCCTATGTAACGACTCCAGGGTGTGCTTAGGGTTTGCTTCTTCAGAGACTTTTGCTAAACTTTCCCTGGAATGGGTGACATTTTTGTTCCTGTTTATTAGCACCCAAACCACACATTTTTCCTCCTCTTTGCTTTTCCTGAGAATTTCAAGGCAAGTCTTAAATAAAAAGTGTCACTCCCAGGAACAATTTTTTTCCCATTTCTCCCACCCTCTCCCCCCTTGTCCCCAACTCCCATTGGACTTATCATCACAGAAGGGGGTTCACTACTCCTTGAGCTCTCCTTTTGCCTTCCAAAATCTCCTCAATCGCACTCTCATCAGTGCACTTGGCAGAACTTGCCCCCCATCCTCAACATACTCTTTTAAGTTAAATTCCAGATTATAGCACACATAAGGAACTTCCAGTTAACCAGGCTTCCCTACTCCCACCCCCATGCAATCATGGGTTTTTTTGGTGCACATGGCAGCTCCTTTACTTTGCTTTATCAAGTGTCTCCCATCTCATGGTCAGTTATTGGGATAGGTTTGAGTCCTTTTAGTTTCAGTCTTTTCTTTTCCATTTTTTCCCCAGAGGGAAGACAGGATATTGAGGAGAAAGGGAGAGCAAGAGCAAGAGAAATAATGACAGATGACCAAGACCTTTCAGAAGTGGAAATGAGCCCAGTGGGCTCTGAAGACCATCACTGCCTCTCGCCAGGACCTTCCATGGCATCAGATGCCACCTCTCATCTCACCAGCCCGGGGAGTGGAGAGATGGGGAAGGTCAAGAAGGAGCAGCAAGACTCAGAGGTGGACGACGATAAGTTTCCCGTGTGCATTCGGGAGGCGGTGAGCCAGGTGCTGAGTGGCTATGACTGGACCCTGGTGCCCATGCCTGTACGGGTTAACGGGAGCAACAAGAGCAAACCGCATGTCAAGCGTCCCATGAATGCCTTCATGGTGTGGGCACAGGCTGCTCGGAGGAAATTGGCTGACCAGTACCCTCACCTCCACAATGCAGAGCTCAGTAAGACCCTCGGGAAGCTCTGGAGGTAAGAGAAAATCGGGTGAGGGCCAGTGGCAATGTGGAGTGGACTGGATGCCAAGCTGCAGGCTGGAAGCAGAATGAGATTAAGAAGGCATCATTAAAAGGGAATTGCTTCCTCAAGGGGGAACATCATGGGAAACTGGGGAAAGCAAAAGTGATCAGGGAAGTGAGGAACTGACAGTGGTCCTTAGGCTCAAATATAGCAGGGGCTTCCTCTGCAAAACTCTTCCAATGCCCCTCATTCCCAACCTGCAGTGGCCTTTGCTACTGGCAAACAGATAACCAGCAAGGTAAAATAGGCCCCGCTCCTCAAGCCCCATCCCCATCAAATTAATTTCACTTGTGATATCCTTAGGTATATTTGGACCCTGGTCTCAGAGACGGCATGCATCCACACTGCTCGAGTATAGCTGGAATCCTGGTTACAGCAAAGGAGAGGGTGCAGAATAGTCGGGCAGTGAGAACCCAGTCACTCCCCTGAAGCACTTTCTTCTCTGGCCAGCCACAGGCCCGGCTAGTTGGGGACTCTGGGCTGCTCTCAAGATAGTGTCAATGTACAAAATGGGAAGCATAGATTCAGTATACACAAGGGGGACCACGCATGCATCCTGGAATGGGACAAGAATCCACTATCCCCAGAGTAAGGTGATGGAAGCTAGAGGACAGAGAGAGGAGTGAGTCCATGCTAACATATTGTTCAAAAAGGAGGTTACATGGTGTCCCCTTCCTGTGCCCCCAGTACGTCCACCATACCACACTGTACACAGCTTCTTCTGGCTGCAGCGTTTCATGGTGGATCAGATTGCTGGGGCTTTGTTTTCAAGCCTGCGGCATTCAGGAAATACCAGCAACCCAGTGACTACCTTGGTAGTGAGCTGACATAACATGGCACTGGCTTTCCCCACCCGCCTTACATACACATGCCCACTTCCTTTATCCCAACATGTTCACACATACTACCCCTGAGACCCACAGTAACATCCATTCCCATTTCAAGTTAACACATCATTTTTGGGGGTCCTTTCCCCATCTACCCGTCCCTAAGTGAGGCCAGCCCCATTGAGACCAATAGGCTGGGCTGAGAGACTGGGGTGGGGGAATGTGTAATACCCATGTGACATGAAGCCAGAAATTCTGCTTCTTTTCTGCATGATGTTTTCCATTAATAACTCCAGAAAGTGATTATAAATGCTTCCCTCCCCCATCCTGCTTTTCTGAGATGCACCCCTTCCCAGCACCATCACTTCCCTGCCTTGTGCCAACCAACATGAATTGACACTGTCCACCCCGTGTGAATAGCCTTGGATTTCCAGAAACTGAAACAGGTCCCCTTTCATACCCTTCCCTCCCCTAAGTGAGATCCTCACCTGCTGGGTGGGGTGGGAGACGGCGAACAAGAATTGCAGTGGAGACTGGAGACTTTTAAGAAAGAGGCAAGCCCCACCCTCCTCATCAACTGGTGCCCAGTTCTCCCACTGACTTCAAACAAATTATTCTGTGGGGGAAAATCTAGCCCTTAGGCATTAGTTTTCCTCTTAATCACATCAAGCAGTTTACTCAGACCTCTTTGCCTTTAATGCAACTTGAGCAAAATGATTTCCTTGGAGAATTAAAGCAAAGAAGCATGGTAGGCCTCAAACATGATATTCATGTCTGGGTGTTCCTACCCGCTTCTCTCACTTCACCCTCCGTTTGCCTTTCCCTTTTTTTATGATTAGTCCAACCTCATGCTCAACCATTGGATATTATACCAGACACTGTTGCTATTTCATTTTCCTTTCACTAACCTCTGATGCCTCCTTTCTAAGAACGTAGGAGCAGATCAACCACACTGAACCTTTATCCTTCATGTTGCATATTCTTCTGCTTTGAGGAGCGGTTCCCTTCTATTGCCCCTTTGCCCCTTCTGATTAGTTTCTCTTGTCTGTACTTTATTAAGTTCCCATAAGTGCTCCATGCCATTCCTACCTAGCTCCTCCAAATCCCGCCCCCTCCCCACCTTTCACTCCCGCGCTTTGTTTTATTTTGGAAGAACAGTACTATTTTGACTTTCAGAAGTACATTTCTTTATGATTCTGGTCTAAAGACCTAGCACTGCAGTTTATGCATTAACATTAAAAGAGCCCATAGCATTCTGCTGTCCAGATCTGCCTGATGATGAGTCGTTCATTAATACCCACCCCCACAATGCTGCGGTATTCTGCTCCAAGAGATCTTACCCACTGTCCTAACATTATTGAGAAACTGAGTTTCTTAAGCCTTGACCCTGCAGGTAGAGAGCAGAGCCCACCCAGAGCCCCATGAAAGTCTACAAGGCTGTGTGTACAATCAGGGATCTGTTGTGCAAAGGAGGTGGCAGGATCAGGGGATGTAAATACTGAGCACTGCTGTATTTTTCAATAAGTGTAAACTCCCATATCTGCCCTTGGCTTTACCTTTGCTGATGAACTAGCAGGAAGCCTATTACCTTAGGAGGTGTTCTAACCTGTCTGTATGGTGCGGTAGGACAAGCTGGGAGCTCTTTGTAGGAGCAGGATTGACCTCTGGCACTGGCGTCTGTGTTAGTGTTGCGGGGAAAAGAAGGAAACTGCAACGCCATGGGAGATCACCCAAGAATTCAGTTGGCCCACTGAAAATTTACCACTGGCTCACAAAGTCTGCTTGACCTCTGCAGCATACCACACAGTTCCTGTGGCCAATGTGCAGCCAGACCACCACCTTTTGGGTACCTTCCCGTCCCACATTCCAGACTATATCTGTCTCGAGTGTTTCTAATGCATTCATTTACCATAGCATCTACATACTGATAGAAGATAAGAAATATGTCTCAAATGCCCAGAGTTCCAAAAGGGGCTAGTACCCAACTAGAGATGCCTGAAAATCAGACCCCTGCAGGATGTACCTCTAAGCTGGATACCTCAAATCACTGGTTGCATTTGAGAATCCAGGCTAAATGTTGGTTGATCTTATCTTATATCAGTGCTTTGGTGCTATGGTAACAGGTGCATTAGATATACCAAAGGCAGAAAGATAGACATCTACCCTCGGTGAGTTGGAAAATACAGAGATCGTTCAAAGGTAATGTTAACCTAAGCGCATTTTTACCTCTCTCTAGTGAGTCTGGAAGAGGACGCTGCCTCTGAGTTAAAAGAGATCTTTCTGAAAAGAGTCCACTAGGTTGAGAAAGAAGCCCCAAGTCCCACCCAACACTGTTCTTTCTATAAAATGGAGTCTAACCCCTCTTGTTGCAGTAGGCAACAAACCGCCGAGCCCAGGGCAGCTCTCACAGTCGCTCATGCTGCCACTGTGCCGCTGGGTACTGACCCAGCGCTGCGTAATGCACTTGGGATCTGCAGGGTATGAAAGGTGCCATTCTGTAGGAGACAGAGGGAAGCCAACAGGGAGATGGAGGCAAGTCATGGAGGCAGCTGACTCTGTCAAATTGCATCAGTGCTGTGTAGACAAATGTTCCTATAGGGGAGAAGTTGAAGACAAAACTCTCTGACCACGTTGCCCCCCCAACCCATTCAGTTTAGGAGAGGATTAGAATGAGGAGACCCACCCTTTGGGGAGCAACAAAGAGAAACAGCTTGGTCTGTGTAAGATGCTAGACTCTTGCTGCAGCTGGTAGAGCAATGGAGACCACGATGGTCATGACAGTAGGGTGCCACCTGCTGGACCAGATTCCAGCCAGCCTCCTGAATGCCCGTGGGGCGAGATGGGGAGGGAACCTGTGATCCATAGCATGCTGCAATGGATGCTGTGCCTAATCAGCAGTGAGGTGCACTGGCTGAGCTGGACAGGAGCAGGGGGTGATAGAGGGCAGGAGTGAGGTGCTTTGGCAGAGCTATCTCCAAGTCCCAGGAAATGAGGGAGGGATACCATGGTGGTGGAAAG